GACAGAACATCGCTGCTGGGCAGCAGCACTTAACCCTAATTCCTGCAACTCTGACACATCAACTGAGCCACAGACAATGGCCACATTAGCCCTAGTCCTGGGCCACAGCCTTTGTCAACGTTGAAATGAAAATGAGCAAAATGCATAATCGAAAAAATTCATTGAAGCGTAAATGCTTTGTAACAGGATACGGGGTGCTGGGTGGTTCAAAGGGGGAGGTCGACTCTTGTGGACAGGACAAGCGGAATTCGAATACGAATACGAGGGATACGTAAAGCCCAACCTAAACCGATCCGATCCGATCCGCGTCGAGTCGAGTTCGAGCCAACTTGAAAGCCAAGCCAAGCCAAGGCAACCAAACGAAACGAAATGAAACGAAACAAAACAAAACCCAAACCAAACGAGCTGCGGAGGACAGACAAAAGGAGAAGGGTCCTGGCGGGGGAATCGTTGGGAAGTTGGGGTCACTGCACAGTTACCGAGTTACTGAGTTACAGAGTTACAGAGTCTCTACCCAAAAGCACCAGCCCACCGCTCCATCTTTGCCCACACATACATATGTATGTGTGTGTTATGTGTGCGACATCGACACCACAACTAATGAACGATGGACAGGACGTGGACAACGCTCAGACTGACAAATGACAAAGGAAACGGGTCGCAGGACACACAGGACACAGCAGCAGGAGTGCAATGGAATGGGAATGGAGGTGGATATGGATATGGGGATGCAGATGCCGATGCTGATGCTGATGCTGATGGTGGACCAGCGGGCAGAGAATGTGACTGCGTAAGTGACTTACTCCGGCTGACCAACTACAAACCCAATTGAAACCAAAACTTAACCCAATCACGAACTGTGGTCAGTGCAGCGTGAATCCCATGTGGAGGTGCCACTGAAGGCGGATTCTGCTTTTACACTGAGAGCAAAAGGTTTGGCATATCTGCGAAAATGTTCAACTAAACAATTATTTGTGCACATATTCAGAAGCTTACTAATATTATCTACAAAAATAAAGAAAGGGATGATATAAAATAGATTTATTTTTGAGTGGGAAAAGTAAATTCGTAAATTGCTTCATTTCCGAGAAAAAACATTTCTTGAAAGTGGTTTGGCTTTCCTAAATTACTAATGAAATTTTATTCTTACTAGACTTCATAGAAAACTAAAAAGAAACCAACAAAAAAAACTTGTGTGTTTATAACATTTAATTGATTCCGATTTAGATCGAAAAAATATCGAATTCCCACTTGATATAAGAGCTCTGCGTATACTTAATATGAGAGTTTGCTGCTCAATTCTACGTTGTGTAACACTATCAAGTTGAAAATGTCATATTTGAAGTTTGAAATACTTTATACATTTTTCTGCTTGTGAATTTCGCTTTTGAAGATTGAAGAGCGGTGCATTTTTGGATCGAAACGCAGAATTCCTGTAAAGTTTTGTGGCTGTGGGAAATTCCGTTACGGCGGTTGGACCACATTCCCGCATGATTCATTCTGGGCCCATCGAGGGTATACACTATCCCCCCTCCCCTCTAAGCCATCCTCTACGCCTCTGGCTTCTATCAGCCAGCAAGCAGCGAACCGACTAATTCAGTTGACTCCAGTGCAATTGAAGAGGGGGTTTTCTAAGGCGGAGGGTGGGTAACTAAAGTTGGCCGACAGTTCGCAGCTCCCAGCCGACAATCAAATGGCCAACGACACCCGGCCACCCCTCACTCCCCCCTTCACCACCCTCTTGCCACCCCTTGTAAGCCCCTTTTCTCTGTAGAAAGGGACTTTTGTATGGGTTGTTTGGCAGCGACGATTGCGTGTTCCCTTTGCCAGGGGCGGCTGGTTTTTTTTTTTTTTGTTACGGAAGCAGGGGGCTGTGGCATCGAGTGTTTGGAGAGATGCTCGGGCATATTGCACATTGTGAACTAGTCCTGCAGTCCTGTTGAACCCGTCCCTTCTGCTTTGCCTTGTGGATGAGTCAGACATGTGAACGTCAAGTCCTTAAACAAAAAAAAAAAGTGGAATTGCACAGAAAAAATGCAAGCAGCAGGAGGATAGCTAAACAAGGGTGTGGGCAAGAGGGTGGGACAGAAGTGATAACATGAGTTGGGGGTGGTGCCAGTGGTAAAAAGTGTACACAACAAGAAATTAAGAGCAATTATATATTTTTAAAAACAATTGGAAGAAGAGTATCTATATTTTCCTAAGCTTGGCATACCAAGATCGCAAATTTTTACCGATGTTATCTCCATAAAACAGCCAAAAATCATCTTACTTCAAAGGGACACTTTAGTAAAGGTTTCTTAGCTAAGAAGAATTAAGCATACATACATATTTTAGCAAGTTTCTCAAAATTTGTTGGCCATTTCTTAAAAATTCTAAATGTGAAATATATAATACTTGTTTATATAAATATTTGAATGCAGATCGATTGGTTTTGATTACTGCGTCTGGCGGCCAACGGAAGAAAAAACTGTTTGCTTGATTTGTTTTAATTGAATTAAACTGCAGCGATTACATTTTCCCAAAAAGGACAAGAAGCATATTATTTCAAAGACAATTACAGATGTGTTAACGAATTGACCTTGAGCCAACTTACATATTATTTAGCTGAGAAGATGTCGTAACATAAGATTTCGTAACAGGGCTGTGAGGAATGAGAATCACATAGTCGGGTCACTCTACTCAGTTAATCTAAAATATCTTTATTTTTTTCGTTTCGAGCACAGTGGCAAGGGAAAGCAACCCTACGGGGGTGGTGATAGGTGAAAGGTGAAAGCGGCATAAGCAACCACCGACGACCACAAAAACGACGACGGCGATGCGTGCCACTGATAAAGGTGACGCTAACGGTGACGGCTGACTGGAGTGGGTGGTGGTGCATGGTGGTGGGTGTAACTGTGGGTGATGGGTGATGGGTGGTTGACCAGGGTCCTGGATCCAGTCCAGTTATAAATTGCAGGCAGCGGCGAACTAGCATGAATAGCGGCATTAAAGTATCAGGCAAACAAAGGGGCAAGATAGGTGGAGAGTGAATGAAAGAAAGAAGGGCAAAACAAATTGCAGGCTGCATACAAAACAAGCCATGAAAAGAGTGCAAGGGCCCATAAAGCAGCTTAACTGCTCCCCTGGCCGGGATTGGGCCGGTATCCTAGATCCTGCTTGGATCCTTGGATCCTTGGGAGCTGTGCAACAGCATCAGCAGCAGCAGCAGCAGCATCAGCAGCAGCTCCTTCCTCCTCCATCTATTACTTTTGCTCTCCCGCATGTATATGAATTTGATAAGATTTTTGTTTCGCCACAAAATGTTCAGTCCACCGCCCACTAAGACTGTCCTTTGTCCGTTGTCCGATGTCCGTTGTCCGCTGGCCGTTGCCAAGGCAAATTGCTTTGAGTTATTTAAGGGGAAAAAAAACGTTGAGGAAAATTGTTAAGGCCAGGCACGTCGACGTCGTCGATTGTGGGTCGTCCAAGAAAAGCTGGAAATGGAGGAGGACCCTGGCACAAATTGTTTTGAAATGATTTGAAAAAGCATTTCAGTTTAAGCCTGCCACGCATGTGTGTATCTGTGTATGCGTATGCGTATGTGTGTGTGTGTGTGTGTGTATGTGGGTGCCTGTGAATTGATGAATGCGCCCGGAGAAGAGGAATAAGAATCCCTCTGATGAATGCAGGACCAGCCTCAGTGCGAATTGAGGATTATGTGGAGAGCTCTATGTGCCGGGGCAATAATTGAGGGTATTTTCTTGAATGGGGGGGAAGGGTGTTGGGGGTTTGAAAACAAAACCCCAATCGATGGAAGGGCCATAACCTGGTCACTCATTCAATTTCCATGATAATTGCCAGCCGCAACGGGTGCCAAATCAAAATGCCTAACTGCCTTCATTAGTTTCGCTGCCACTTTTGCTGCTTTCGTATGCAAATTGCCAGTTGGAGCCAGCTGCTGCCGCTGCTGCTGCTTCCGAATATTGGTGTCTTATTCGCCTTCGCATTTGCCTTTCTGTTTTATTTTATTTTATTTTTTTTTGGGTTGTGCGGTTGTGTAAGCCGAAAAGCCACGGGAAAAACCCAAGCCAGCGAAAAGAAAACGGTTCAATTAAGCCAATATTTGCGCACACTCGCGCCTTGTGTTGGTTAGTTTGGCAAGGGCTGAGCCACCAACACCCCCCAGCCACCCCCTCAAACCCTCGAGCGGCGGGCGCTGCTAAGCGATGGCACATTTTTCGTAGCATACTTTGAGCGGCTGCTTAGCACACGGCCACAACAGAAAACAGAAGCCCGCTCAAGTGTTTGTGTATCTGTCTCTCGCCCAATGCGTATGTGTGCGTGACGGGATGCGACTGTGTGTGTGTGTGTGTGTGTGTGTGTGTGTGCGTCTGTGGTTGGGATTTGTGTTACACGCAGAAAAAAAAAACACAAATGGTTTTGATTTCGACGGCATAATATAATATTGTATCAATAGAACAATCTTTTTTTGTTAAAGCAGCACAATATTATTTTTATTAAGTAGGTTTGTCAAAGATTTATTTATAAATAAATAACTATTACCCTCATATTCTATTAATTATTAGTTCTAAAAATTCGAAGGTTTTAATGGGAATCACATTGCATGAATGGCTTTTAAAATCTATAAGAATTTACGTTAGTATTTCTGCTTTTTACTATATCAAAAATCATATACACGCAATTAGTAAACGAATTTGAGTCTTATAAAAATATAGATTTTGACAAAACGTCGTAATGGTGTTATAATAGAGTTATCTTTTCAAAATTGCCTTATCATTCAAATATACAAAAGATTCTCCTGGGTAGCCCATTTTGGCCCAGTGTGCTGTTTCAGTTTCGGTCTCAACATCGGTTTTGGTTTGTGTTTCTGTTCTGTGTTTCGGGTCTTTCGGCTTACTCCTTCGTTGCTTTGAATGGCTACGGATATTGTATCGAACGTGGAGTGTGGTGTGGTATGGTGTGGTGTGGTATCGTATGGTGTGGATTCGGTGACTCACCTGAACCTGAGCGGTGCCAATGGCCAGGACGACCCAGAGGCTCCGCAGCAACAAATTACGACGCAACGCGACGCACATTGTTCAAAATTCTTTCAGCTCCTTGGCTCCTTGGCTCCTTTGTCCTGTCTCCTGGCTCTGTACTTAGCTGGACTGACTTGCCCTTGTCTCTGGTTCTGCTTTTGATTCTGCTTCTGGATGTGATTCGAATTCGGCTTTGGATTCGGTTTCTAGTTAATTGTATTTGGTTTGTTGGCTTGTTCGTTTAACACTTTGCTGCATAGACAAACGACGGCAGCAGCAACAAGAAATCGAAAACACAAGAAAATTTCATTAGCAAGCGAACGATTGGTAGCTAGATTTCGTTATAGTGGCATCTGGATTCTGGTTACTGATAACTGATTTCTGTTTTCTGATTTCTGATTTATGCGTTCTAAGGTTCGTACTCCGATTTCGTTGAATTTGTGATGCTCAAGTTAGCTGGTCGCCTTGCCTGTCCCTTCGCGAAGCGTTTTGCTTACGCCGTTGCCCCAAAAAAATGTCAACTCGGAAAACTGTGTGTGTGTGTGTGTGTGTGTGTAATCGTAGTATTTGATTGTGGAACGTAGTAGAAGAGAGTCCAAGACGAAAGGGGGGATAAGAAAAAGGCGAGAAAGAGAGCACTCGCTGTGCTCTTTCCTAATATATCCACTCGCTGGTTCTCGTGCTTTCGAGATGGTATTTCCTCGCACAAAATATGTAGCGTATAACTGTTTTGTTCTAAAGTTAAATCCCCATACAGCCGCTGTCCTTTTGCCTGGAAAACCTGTCAGCTGCAGCCGTTGGGTCCCATGTCACTTGTCCTCTGCACTTGGCAGCTCCTACGCAGGTCCACCCACCCCCGCAACCCGGTCGGAAAAGTCCTCGTAACCATCGTCGTCAGACTTTTGCGCACTTTTCCAGCAGCATTCTCACTTCTCACTGATTCTGCGCAAAGCGGTAAACTTATTTCCACCCAGCTAATTTGGCATCACAAATCCATTATTGACATCGGCTTAGTTCAGTTCTAATTCAAATCCTTTTTTATATCACTTTGTTTTGGGTGTTTTTCTCTATGGTTTTTTTTTTTTTTTTTTTTTTTTTAAGCACTTGCACTTGAACAGCAAAAAAAAAGTATATTTTTGGTTTCAGTGATGGGACGGTCTCTCAATGTGTGTCTCTCTGCTTTCTCAGCTCCTCGGTTCCAAAATTCTCCGCCCGAGCCTCTCTCCGAAGCAAAAAAAATCGTAGCGGGAGAAAGCCGAGAGCTACTGACAGCAGCAGCAGCAGCAGCAGCAGCAGCAGCAGCCCCAGGCCTTTTCCCAGCGGACGGAGTAACGGGGTGGCTCTGGCTTGAAGAGAGGCGCCTCTGGAGCTCGGAATCTCTCAATCTCTCAATCTCCCAATCTCTGGAGCTGTGGCTATGGGCTGTACCTGGCGCTGCGAACGCTCACAAACGACTGCGAGTGGTGCTGGCTGCTCGGCGGACTCGTTGCCTTCAATCGAATTCGAAAAGCCTGCGAGTCGAAGTCCGAAAGTCGGCAAGTCCGAATTTACGAAAGCCCGAAAGTCGAACTCTGGCGCAGAGCGCGTGCCCGGGATCGATATTAAGGGCGAAAGCTGCCTTTCCGCAAGGGTGGAACGCGCTGGTCGTTCGAGCTGCGAGGGCCGTTGCCTGTGGAATGTGGCAGGCTAAAAAAAAAATAGCACCAGGTGCTCAGAGCGAATCCGAGGGGTGGTTGAACCGGTTCCGCCAGCGAACCAAATTCCCATTCACTACCGGCGGAACTGTTATCAGCATTGGAACTCCTTGCAAGGCGCTAATTTCAAGCGTGGTTTTGCTGCACTTGCCAGGATTCTTAACCAGAAGTCTCCTTTTTTTTAATACAGAAAAAATAAAGCAGGGGCGTGCCAAAGCCCGTGGCTCATGTTTCTTTTTTTTTTTTGTTGCTTTGCTCATTGATATATGTAGGAAGAGCAAAGTCATATACAGCGGGCAAAAGATTTTTACGAAGATTTTATATCTGGGTTTAAGTGTGCTTCCTTTTTTTGGTCTTAATAATTTTTGTAATGCAAAGCACACATTAAACGCTTTATAATTTATTACCAATTAATGTATTAGATATTAAGTGCAAACATTTTTAAAACACAATGTAGCTATGTATTATAGGGCTTATATATCTAGCTCAGATAATGTTTTAATTTTTGTATTGCGTTTTAAACATATATCATATTTTGATTATTATACACATTTAAATTTCATTCCAGAATTTGCGAGTCTGGCATTGTATCATACAACTCGGTCATTGGAGCTATGATGATTTGCAGCTCAATTATTTGATAGTTCCTATGGCAGCTTTATGATATCGTTATCCCATTTTAATAAAATTAAAACTGTAATTCTGAACTGTCAAATTATTAATAAGTCAAAAAATACCGTTTAAAAATCAGTTTTTGAATAAAAAGCCTGGGGAATAATTGTCAGAAGTTAGAATGTCTTGCATCGTTGGATTCGTCATAAAATTTCCAATCAAATGGCATTCACAGCTAAAATTTTTCCAGGCTTTCAAATTTTGGCAAAAAATGATGATGTACCCCCTTATCAAAAATGCGAAAATTGGGCATTTTTAAAAAAAAGGCTTTAAAAAAATTTGTTTCGATATAAAAAACGATTTTTTAAACATACCCAAAGAGTCAGTTTGCTGTAAATTGGCCAAAATAAGACGCATAGCTATAGGTGTGATTGTTATGTCCAGCTGAAAGCCTATACCATCTATACCCGATTTTTTAAAAATTGTTTTTATTTAAATTATTTTTAAAAGGCGTTTTTGTACAGTTTCTTATATCCGGATTACATTGACGCATAAAAACGCAAAATAAATGCGTTTAATAAATGCGATTAAAAATCATTTATCCCAAATATTGATAGAAAAAATACCGGAAAACACTGATTTTTAACGATATTTGCACCCCTACAACAGGTTGTTTTTATATGCAAGGATGGTGCAATTTTTTATTTCTTTTAAATGTAATTTTTTTTGTTAGCAAAATGCTAATGCGCCAATGGATTCAGGCACATTTAAAAAATCCACTAATGCGGCAATGGAATCTGGCTAATAAACAAAATGAAAAATGATGGAATCAAAGTTTTCAAAATCGATCTTCCAGTGTTGCCAGATAATCGAGCGGGCAACCGAATCGAGTGCTGCCATACAGCCTTCGGACAATCGATTGCGCGTCAAGTGTTATCGATCCGCCTAGCGGCAAGCAATCGGCAACTTTCGAAATTGTTTTCTGTTTGACGCTTGCTGTTATTTTTTTCGTGGCGAATCCAAGTGTTTTAACTTGCGAACGGACTGGAAGCGAATGGCTACGCTGCGGAACCACACATCAACAGCCGGCAACGGCCAGGACTCGCCACAGGCGCCGCAGGACGCGGGTGCCACGCTGGCCATCGGCTATGTGCGGGAATTCAGGGCGCGGGCGGCCGCCTTTCAGGTGCAGCGATCCGAGGAGTCGCTGATCTATGTGCAGCGCAGCGTGGCGCTGCTGGGCACCAAGGTGGCGGCCCAGCACTTTGCCCCGTCGCCGGGCAACCTGGAGCTGGCCCGCTTCTATGTGGATCTGCACGCCCTGATGGGCGCCCTGGAGAACGAGGGCGTCGAGGACGATGTGCTGTGGGCCTGCGTTGCGCTGGTGCAGCACTGCAGCCGGAATCTGGAGGCGCGGCTGGCGATCGTCGAGAAGTTCTGCTTTGTGCCGCTGCTGGGCGTGCTCATCCGTCGCACACGGAGGCCGGAGCGAGTGCATCGGCTGCTGGTGCTGCTGCAGGACCTGACCTATGGCATCCACATCGCCTGGGAGGAGCCCTATTTGGCGGCCCTGCTCGAGCACCTGGTGGAGATCGTGCACGGCACGGCGGATGGCTCGAGTGCCACAACTGGTGGCTCCGGCCATCATCACAACGACGACGAAGACGACTCACTTACCCTGCTCGCCCTGTCCGTGCTGGTGAACCTATGCTACAAGAACTTCGCCGTGCTGTTCTTGTTCCTGCGCAGCGTTAACATATCCGCCTTCTGTCGGCGCATCCAGAACTACGGCCTGCTGGCCTACAAGATGCTCATCCTGCTCTCGGAGGATGTGTACGCCTTCGAGCTGCGCGAGCTGTACACCTTCCTGCGCACCGCCTTCGCCGGCATCGAGGACTGCCTGAAGCACTGGAACGTGGCCCAGATGCGGCACATCGTTGACTTCCTGCTGGACTCACAGTGCCATGCCGGCCTCCATCGGGCGATGCTGTCGCACAGCCACTACTGCGAGGATGTGGAGAAGCTGCTGGACGTGAGTTGGCACCAGGCATGTCCGCCCACTGTTCTTACAACTGTTCTTCAACTTGCAGCAAATCGACGCCCGCTGTGGCATGGACGATTCACAGGAGGAGACGCGCAAGCACCATCAGATTTGCCTGGATCTGGTCTTCCGCCTGGTCAGCTACATTCTGCAGCTGTCCGAGGATGGCAACAATGCCATTAGCCTGGACGCCCTCACGCAGCGCCTCTACGAAATGGTCGGCGACTGGCTGGGCTCCGATCTGTGCGGCGTGGCCGCCATCGAGCTGCTCTGCACCCTGCTGCGCCTGGGCAAGAAGACGGCGGTGACCCAGCTCATTGCCCGCGATCCCTCGCATGTGGTCAGCCTGGTGGCCAGCTCGGAGCGACCGGAGACCAGGCCCGCCCAGGTGCTGGCCATTCTGCGCCTGCTAATTGCCCTGCTGCAAGAGTCGAAGACGGAGAAGCTGGTGCTGTCCAAGATCTCCGAGTCGTATTTCGACAAGATCCTGTCGGTGCCGCTCGCCCTGGTGCCGCAGTTCCTCAGCACACAAAGCCTGGCGCCGGCCGAAGTGGAGAAGGCCTGCTTCTGCCTGCTGCTGCTCGTCAATGTGGCCGGCATCGCCAAGAAGGCGTACCTGGACAAGTGCTGCACCCTGCTGGAGCAGCCCCAGCTGCAGTATTGCCTGGCCCGCGGCATGGTCAGCAGAGGTGAACCGCTGGTGGCCGCCGTCCTTCAGATCGCACAGTTCGAGCACTTTCCCAAGGCAGCGGTGGCCAAGGTGAGTAGGCCAAATCCTATGGCCTAACTCAGTTCGAATCTTTTCAATCCGGCTATCCATTACTCCATTACTTTTTAAAGTTCTAAACTATCTACATAGTAACCACGTTATATTACCTCCCTTTTAGCATGTGGCTGGCATCAGCGGTGATCCAGGCACTTCAACTGACTGCTCCGGCCAGGCCGAGCAGTGGCGCAACCTCAGCTCGATCCTCAAGGGCCACCGCACCTTCACCGACAAGGAAATGGCCCAACGGGTCAACGCACTCCTGGACAGCATCGGGGGCATTGTGCACCGCAACGAACTGGCCTCGGCACCCGTCTCCCAGGTGATCGAGCTGTACAACCACCGCATCGACAGCCTCAACGGCGCCGTTCTCAGTCTGCAGCAACGCCTGGATCAGGCTGGCCAGCATCTGGCCACTGGCACACAGTTGGCCCACGTGCAGAGTGCCGAGCTGCAGCGCTTCCAGGCCACAAACTTCGAGCTGCTCATCAGCCAGGAGCGGTGAGTGTATAGCCTTTTCATACGGAATAAGTTTAAACTTGAGACATTTTTGGAAATACTATATCCTCAGACAATAGATTAAAACTGTTGCTAACTACTAGGCAGGTTCACTTTGACCAAACTCGTGCTTGTTGTCTAGTTTCGATTCCATATTTGAAATACATTACGGATTTCTTTGTCGTTTAGACTGCAAACCCAGTGCAAGGATCTCAAACAGCAGACAGAGAAACTGAAGAGCAATATGACCAACCTACTGAAGCAGCTGTCCGAGAACTCCGACCACCTGCAGGCCAACGAAAGGCGATTGACTGTGAAAAAGTCGGAGATTGCCAGCCTGCAAAAGGAATGCGAGGAGCTGCGAACGAACCTGAGCGCCAAATGCGAGGAGCTCACCAAGCTGGAGGCACACAACAAAGAAAACGTAAACGAGCCGAAGTACTAGACTCACTAGTGTCCATAAATACAATACCTTTCCCTCTCCGCTCTCTCTCTCTTCAGACTTCGCGCATCGACAAGCTAAAGAAGTCCATGGTGGCCTACGAGCAGGATATTAAAGAGAAGATGCGCACCATAGACGAACGCGAACGGGAGCTGGCCAAAACGCACAAGGCGCTGGAGGAGCAGCGGGATGCGCGCAAGAAGTCCGAGGATCTGATCTCCGTGCTGGAGACGCAGCTGCAGGAGCGCAAGGATCAGATCGAAAACCTCGAGATGGAGCAAAAGGAGACGGAGGACTTGCGCAAGACCATTATGAGTCTGATGGAGAGCAAAAAGCCAAAACGGAAGGCCTGAGACTCATTTCTTAAACTTCAAACTATACTAAAGTTTAAGCTAGCAATCTAATCAACTGCACATTCACATCCCGGCATCAAATACATTTTTTTTTTGTTGTTTATATTTATATACATTTATTGCATCTTGCACAGTGCAGTGCAATTCATTGTTGCGGTGCAAGAGGTTCCATTCCAATTCCAATTCCAATTCCAGTTCAACCAAAAATACAAAACAATTGAATAAGCCAAGTGTAGTTTACAAATAACTAGAAGTTCTCTATGCGTGATTTGGGACTTGTGCGGTCTACAGGTAAGAGTGTATTATTCACTAAAAGCTTTTCTAAACGATCGGAACGATCATACATCGCTTGTGGCCTTACGCCGACTACTTTACGTTGCTTACATCGCTAAACACCAGCTCGATTCTCAGTTACACATCTAAAATCCCAGCTGAGGGCTGTGGATTGTATATTAAAACGGAATAAAATGTGGAATAGCGTACAGAGGAGACAATCACAAAACGAAACAGGAAGGGATTTCCAAGTAGCCAAGTGGCCAAGTAGCAATATATACAGATCTCGGTATATACAGTATACAGTGCACCAAATGGACAAGAACAGGAGGAGCAGGAGATGCCAGAGCGGGAGTGGCCAGCACCGGAGGTACAGCTGGGAATCGTAGCGAAAGTCTGGTGCCTGGCATCGCGCTAAGGGAAGAATTGCGTTTTGGCGGACCTTAGGAGCCGAAGTGCTCCTTCTCCTGGTCGATGGTCTCGAATTCGTAGCTGCCCCGGCCGTCGAACTGCAGGTAGTAGTCGTGGTGCACCCACAGCGACTTGCGATGCGAGACGGTAAAGAGCGTGATGCCCACCTCGCGGCAGTAGCTATACATCTTGCCCTCCACGTCCACGGATACGGCGCTGGTGCATTCGTCCAGAATGGCGAACTGCGGCCGATGGTAAAAGAGCCGCGCCATGGCGATGCGCTGCTTCTCGCCGCCGGACAGCACGTCGATCCAGTCCTCGATGGCATCCAGGCCGTTCTCGCGCTGCTCCAGATAGGTCAGCTGCACGATCTCCAAATAGTGCATCAGATCCTCGTCGCTCTGTCCCATGCGGCGCATGTCCTCGCGCGTGTGTGGATAGATTATCTATTCAAATGAACCAAATCAGGGGTTATCTATTAGTACACATTCACTCTTCAAAATATATATACAGCTGCGGTCAAAATAATAGTAGTAATGTAGAGCTGACCACTTTATTTTTTAAGGCATAGACCAATAAACAAAATGGGCTTCAAAAACCCTGGATTTCTCAAGACAAATTCTACAAATTCACTCTTCAAAATATTGTAAATAAATTTTAAACAATTTAAGAAAATAAACACAGTTCCCTATATGTCTGCAGTTTGTGTTAGCATAAAAATGTTTTAAAAATCTGATATACTTTTAAAAGTAAACATTTAAAATAAATTTTTTGCTTAAATATACCTACGATAAATGAGCATCTTTATATTGGCCCCATTAAGTTTACAGTTTAGCTTGACAATCACAAAAATAAATGTTCTAAAATTGCACCCCAACTATTTTTGGTTGATTTTTTCCCTAACCAAACACTGGCACACTTCTCACCTGGTCGCGCAATGTTCCCAGCGTCATGTAGGGCCTCTGAGGTACATAGAAGAGCTTGCCGCGCGAGGGCTTCGTGACCTTGCCGCCCCACGTGGGCCACAGTTCGCCAAGGATGCGGAACAGCGAGGACTTGCCGCAGCCATTGGGACCGCAGACCAGGACGTTTGTGCCGGATCTGCGACAAGAGAGCGAGCACTGAGTAAGTCGAGTCGAACATTAGCCCATTATCATTATGCAACGCTTACTTCACTTCAAATGTGAGCTCCTGCAGCAGAACATCGCCGTTGGGCGTCACCAGCGGCACCTGTTCGAAGCGGATGATGTTGTCCTCGAAGCACATGATGCCCTTGTTCGGCCCAAAGTTGCTGGCCGCCGCCGAGCCGCCGGCGTTTTGCGTAATGTTATTGCCGTTGATCATGGTGCGTTCGTAGGTGCCCTTATTGAGGTCGCCCAGCACCTTGATCAGTTCGGTCATGCGGGCGGTGAAGCCGGCGAGGCGAGACATCTCGCGTCCGGCCAGCACCAAACGTCCGATGGCCTCCGCCAGCTTGACCAACATCCGGCCGTACGTGTAGTACGCCTGCAGCCGCTGTCCACTGTGCTCGCCGGACAGCAGTGGATGGTTTTCGGCAAAGAAGGGAATGGACACGGCATAGAAACCCACAATCGAGGCGAAATCTGTGGGTGAAAACGGTTACGGTTACGGTTACGGTGCACTGATCCGAACAGAAGGAAACCAAGATGAGAGAACGTACATTTGCCAATGATGTTGTCGATGATGCCCATGCTGACGCGGAACTCGAGGAACTTGCGCAGGTGCGAACGCAGCTTGGAGTAGCTGGCCAGCAGCGTGAGCTTCTCGCGCTTGTTGCCCTGGTAGAAGGCCACCTCCTCCGAGTTGGTGATCAGCCGACTGTTCACATAGCGGAACTCGCCCTCCAGTTTCTGCTCCTCGACGGTCAGGCGGCCAGTGGGGCGTCGCAGACGCGTCAAGAATACGCCGGCGAACAGCAGATAGAGCATCAGGATCGAGGGCGTCTTGCCGCCCAGGTTCACCGTCAGGCGGTACACATAGATGAAGATGTCCAGCACGGGCTTACTGATGTTGGAGTACAGGTCCGTGGCGCTCTCGCAAAACTTGTCGATGTCCGTTGTCAGCAGCTGATCGGCGTTGGCTATCCTGTTGTCCAAATTGGACATTTTGTAGTAGGTGTAGCCACTAAAAGCGATAAGAGCATGGTTACATTAATAAGCAGCTTTGAAGATGAGTTTCGCAATAAAACTAACTAGACAAAATTGCCAGGAACATAATTTGAAGTTGATGAGATCAATTTTCGTTAATTCAAGATTAACAAGGATTTAAAATTTTAAAAACAAAATCGCTTTCTTTCGTAAAGTGTTCAAGAAGAAATGCAATTTAAATTAATATAATAATATATTATCGAAACGGTCACTTAGATACAGATTCCATCAGATGTGTACCTTGTTTTCTGGGACTTATTAAATAAGTAGTAAGTTTTTAAAATATTCAAACGAGTTTTATTTTAGTTTTATAGTAAGCATGTAAATTCAAAAACAAAAAAAAAACTAAATAAAATTGTGGGAATTAAGATTATCTTATTAAGATTATCTTATCGTTTGTAATTATAATGTATTTTTAATGGTAAATGTTACGAGCTCTGCCCTGCAACAATACTATCACGGTACTCACTTTAGGTACTGACTGTACAGGTGATGTGTGAGGTTGGTGCGGAACCTAAGCTTCAGCTCGCCCAAACTCCATTTAAGGACGTTGGTCACCACAGAGATCTAGAACGAAGACCAACATTAAAGGTAAACAATTGTTTCCGGATATGCGAATATGCAAAACGTAATCAACTTTGACCCGACCAATCGAGATTCATTTATCATTTATCCTTCTTACCGCTGGAAGAGCTGTCAGATATTTAAGCAGCGCCGACTTGAACTTGGTGCGGTTCATGTGTATGATGGTGCTCTCCACCACAGTGGCGTTCTGGATCATCCAGATGTCGCTCACGGAGCGGCCGATCAGTGCGGCGGCCACCAGGAACAGCAGGCCCGTCTCAATACTCCAGAAGCCCGGGATGAGGATGGCTATTGTGAAGTGAAACGAAAGGAGATTGTGAACCCTCCGGCGAATCGCTGGACAACTGGACGAGGATCTACTCACGGAGAAGCTGGCGCAGCTGTTTGAAGAATACTGAGTTGACATGGGCCTTTGACGACTTCTTCTCCTTCTTTTCGGCGATTGTGTACTGAATCTTGTCCTCATAGCCGGGTTTTCTAAAATCCAGAGAAACATATATGAAAAATGGGTTAAATTATTAAAAAATAAAAAAAACAGGCGAATTTGCTTCTCTTCTACCTAGTTGATGCTCCGCCCAAAACATATTTATAGTTGTTGACAACTATTTAAATTGCAACTACAAAAATAATAATACAAAATTTCAGGCTACCATATAGATATAAACATGACATATATTAGCTTGACAAATTACATTTTAATAAATAAACCTATTGTCTGGTTTATTTATTATGCAATGCAATTTGCAATTGTTAATTTATTGATTATAAATTAAATTTGGTTCTTATATACTGAAATTTAAAGATCAAATTATCGTTTAAGTTAAATTTCAGAGAAAGATACTTGCTATAAAGCCATAGGAAAATATTTGATATTTAGACCACGAATTTCTAATAGCGTAATTTATAAGTTTCAGTATCATATATGTAATCTCTAGGTAAAATTTTTTAGAATCAGTAGCTTTTGGTTTTGGGCCAGCAAAAAAGTCCGCATTTTGTCGACTTGTGTTATTTAAAAATAAATTACAATTGTTTAACTCCCTGTTTATATAGTAAATTTGAATATCAACCTTTGCCTTTAGCCAGCCAATCGGGTTAATCGCTTTTGCAAATAAAGACTGAGTTTTATGCCCCCACAAACTCTTATTTACAGTGAAGCTTTGTGATTAAATATAATAATTGGCATGTTGGGATGAGCAATAACACTTTACACAGAAAGTCATTAAGTTGAAATAAAACTGCTCGATCACCCTGGCAAATCTGTCAGAGGCCGTCCTAAAATTACTGAATGCTCAGTAAAAAATAGTTGTTAACTTTCGTTAGAATAATCAAGTAGTTGACACTTTGAATGCGCTTTTGCCAACTAAACATTTTTCATTTTGGTTTCCTATTTGTTTCATTGGAAAACTTTTATTGCGCTTCAGTAACGTATTGTGATCCCAAACAAAGGTATTCGGTATTTATTTATTATTTATTTGGTATTATATTATCTTCCCGGTCAAATATAAATTATTGCAAAGCTTTTCTTTATACATACGCAGTTTTTTAAATCAATAAATACAGGTAACTTGAGCCCAATCTTTTCAATTTTATAGCAAACATTTGCTATAAGAAAGCTCAACCAAGTTCGTTTCGTTCGTTCGAATTTGCATGACTTTGCTTTATGATTAGAGAAGTACATCCACATAGATATGATTAGCCCAAAAACAGAATAATTAAATATATGTTGAAAATGTTTAATTAGTTCTGCAAGAAAATTGAAAAATTGAATTTCCTTTTATTAAAAGAAAAATAAA